TATGAGAAGGCATTGGCCTCAAACAAAGTTTATTTGATGAGACGATTATTCAATTTGCGGATGAATGAAGGGGCATCGATGGCACAACACCTAAATAAACTCAACACAATCACAACCCAGTTGAGTTCAGTGGAAATTGAATTCGATGATGAAGTTCGAGCTTTAATTCTCTTATCATCTCTACAAACAGTTGGAATGCTACTGTTACAGCAGTCAGCAGCTCGTTGGGAAACAACAAATTAAAATTTGACGATGTTCGGGATCTGGTACTGAGCGAAGAAATTCGACAGAGAGAATCCGATGAAGCATCAACCTCCTCAGCCTTGCACACGGAGTCCAGAGGGAGAACTTCAGAAAGAAATTCAAATCATGGCAGATTGAAATCCAGACGGGGAAAATCCAGAACGGGAAAGAAAGATTTTACCTGTTATAATTGTGGCAAGAAGGGTCACTTTAAAAGAGATTGCCGAGCACCGAAGAAAAATACCGGCGCACAGGATTCTGCCAACGTGATAGAGGAGACAGGTGATGCCATGATTCTAAGCGTCAACAGTCCGATTGAATCATGGATCTTGGATTCAGGGGCATCTTTCCACTCTACCCCATGCCGAGAAATCATGAAGAACTATGTCAGTGGTGATTTTGGGAAGGTTCATCTAGCCGATGATGAAACCTTGAAGATCGTCGGAAAAGGAGACATCCGATTAAAGTTGCCAAACCAGACCACCTGGATGCTGAAAGGAGTGAGACATATTCCTGGCCTCAAAAGAAATTTGATTTCTGTAGGACAGCTTGATGGTGAAGGATTTAGCACAACTTTTTCAGACTGTGAATGGAAGATTACCAAAGGAGCACTCGTCATTGCTCGTGGTAAGAAAAATGGTACTCTCCATATAAGCTCAAATTTAGAGAATATCATTGCAGTAGCAAACGCTGATGGAAAATCAAACCTATGGCACCAAAGGCTTGGCCATATGAGCGAGAAAGGGATGAAGACACTTTTGTCAAATGGGAAGTTACCGGATCTAAAGAATGTAGATGTTGGACTATGCGAGGATTGCATCTTTGGCAAACAAAAGAAAGTCAGCTTTGCAAAGATTGGTAAGACACCCAAGGCTGAAAAATTAGAGTTGGTTCATACTAATGTATGGGGACCATCTCCAGTTCCATCTCTTGCAGGATCATTATATTATGTCACATTCATCAATGATTCTACAAGGAAGGTGTGGGTTTATTTTCTGAAGAAGAAATCAGAAGTCTTTGATACCTTCAGAAAATGGAAGGCCATGGTGGAAAATGAGACTGGTCTGAAAGTCAAGCGATTGAGGTCTGACAATGGAGGAGAGTACAGAAATCGTAGATTCAGAAATTTTTGCGCAAATAATGGGATCAAGATGGAGACAACAGTTCCCATGACACCGCAGTAGAATGGCGTAGCAGAGTGCATGAACATAACTCTGAATGAACGTGCCAGAACCATAAGGATACATGTCGGATTGCCCAAATTTCTATGGGCTGAAGCTATCAACACTGCAGCTTACTTGATCAACTATGGGCCCTCAGTTCCTTTGGATGGCAGAATACCAGAGGAAGTTTGGAGCAAGAAATAAATAAACCTTTCACACTTAAGAGTGTTTGGTTGTATTTCTTATGTACACATAAACTCTACTGAAAGAAGTAAACTTGATGCCAAGTCCAACAAATGTGTCTTTGTTGGTTATGGTGGTGATGAGTTCGGTTACCGATTTTAGGACTATGAAAATCGGAAGATCATAAGAAGCAGAGATGTTATTTTCAATGAGAATGTGATGTACAAAGACAGGGCAACCATAGATTCAAGTAGCTCCAATACCGAAGCTGAAACAAAGGAATTTGTTGAGTTCGAGGAGATTTCTAGAAATGATGTTCAGGTCAGTCTTGAAGCAGTTCAAGAAGAACCAATCACACCAGAACTGAGACGCTCCTCCAGAGTTCCTAAACCAACCCAACGTTATTCGCCTTCTTTGCACTACTTGTTGCTGACTGACAATGGTGAACCAGAGTGCTATGATGAAGCAATGCAGGTAGAGGATTCAGTCAAGTGGGAGTCTTCCATGAAAGATGAGATGGACTTGCTTATGTCAAATCAGACGTGGGAATTATCTGAATTACCACCAGGCAAGAAAGCGCTCCACAACAAGTGGATTTACTGGATCAAAGAAGAGCACGATTGGAGCAAACGCTACAAAACAAGATTGGTAGTCAAAGGTTTTCAGCAAAAAGAAGGTATTGACTACAATGAAATTTTCTCTCCAGTCGTAAAGCTATCTACAATCAGACTGGTGTTGAAAATTGTTGCTGCAGAAAATTTACATCTTGAGCAGTTAGATGTAAAGACAGCTTTCCTTCATGGTGATTTGGAGGAAGAAATCTATATGAGGCAGCCATAAGGCTTCATAGAGGTAGGCAAGAAAAACCTGGTATGCATGTTGAAGAATAGCTTGTATGGTCTAAAACAAGCTCCTAGACAGTGGTACAAAAACTTTGATAGTTTCATGGGTAGCAGTGGTTTTACCATATGCCAAGCATATCATTGTTGCTACATCAAGAGGTTCGATAATAGCTTCATTATTTTATTGTTGTACGTTGATGACATGCTCGTTGCAGGCTCAAACATGCAAGAGATCATAAACTTGAAGCAAAAATTATCGAAGCAGTTTGCAATGAAAGATATGGGCGCTGCAAAGCAGACTCTTGGGATGAGGATCAAAAGAGACACAAAGTCGGGGACTTTGATGTTATCACAGGCTGAGTACATCAACAAAGTACTCTCCAGGTTCAACATGCAAGATGCTAAACTAGTAAGTACACCTTTAGGTGTTCATTTTAGATTCTCCAAAGAATAATCACCAAAGACGGAGAAAGAACGTGCACACATGGTGAAGGTGCCGTATGCCTCAGCAATTGGAAGTCTAATATATGCCATGGTTTGTACCATACCAGATATTGCTCAAGCAGTGGGAGTTGTTAGCATGTACATGAATAATCCAGGCAAGGTACACTGGGAAGCAGTCAAATGGATCCTCGGATATCTGTGGGGTACCAAAAACAAAGCACTTTATTTCAAAGGTGGAGATACGATACTGACAGGTTATGTAGATGCTGACTTAGTCGGAAATGTCGATATCAGAAGAAGCACTACAGGGTATGTCTATACTCCAGGAGGAACTGCAGTGAGTTGGGTTTCTCAACTACAGAAGATAGTTGCTCTCTCTACAACTGAAGCTGAATATGTTGATGTTACGAAAGCCAGTAAGGAGATGGTTTGGCTCTAAAGTTTCTTGGAAGAGTTAGGCAAGAAACAAGAAAACAATGTCTTGTATTGCGATAGTCAAAGTGTTATCCATCTAGCGAAGAATCCGTCTTTTCATTCCAGGACGAAGCACATACAATTGCGATATCATTTTATCCGGTCTCTTCTGGAAGATGGGATTTTGAAACTTGAAAAGATCAGTGGAGCTCAAAATACAACTGACATGTTAACAAAGACGGTGACTACGGACAAACTGAAGTTGTGTTCAGCTTCAGTTGGCATGCTAGAGTAATCAAGACCAGAAAGCTGCTGCATTGATCGAGCTGTGAAGACATATTAAAATCAGTCTTCAAGTGGGAGATTGTTGAAAAATACATGGCTTCTATATGGCTTTTAGTGGCTATATGATTTCAAAGGTGGCTGCTAATTTTTCAAAGTTAGGCATCCCATTATTTTTGAATTTAAGCAATGGAAAATCATTTTTAGTCATTGGACTTTAGGGTATTTACAAAGATTGGTCCCTAAGTTTCAACTATAAATACCCTAGCTCATTTAGCTTCAAAATCATCCCAAAATCCCAAATCATTTTTTTCTCCCAATACTAGAGAGTTTCTTGTGAGTAATGAGTGTTTTGTAAACACCTGAAAATTTTCTCTCTTAGTAAAAGATCTGCAGCAGTCCGGAGACGTAAGCACAATTGGTTGAACTCCGTTATCAATTTTCGGGTATTATTTTTTCGTTTTTATTTTGCATTCTTACTAATCTGGTTATAGGGAAATTACTCGTACTGGGTTTATTTCCTAACACATTCTATGTTTTCGATTTGATGATGTTGTACGGATTTGAGTTTCCTTAGTCATTTATGTTTCATTATAAATTTTATTGGACTAAATGCTAAAATGAATTATAATTTAATTACTTGATAAATAAGAAAAAACTATGTTTGCATGATACAAGTGAAAGATTTGTCATTTAACATGATTTGTTATGATTCAGTGTCAATTATATGTCCTTGGTATTAGTTGCCATCCATAGTGTTTAATAATTATTTGGAGTACCTCACTAAGCTATATAAGTTTAGTATGTTTGTTTAACGTCTTTGCAAGAAATCAACATTTGTAATTCAAGATTGCATTCTAGGGATTGCAAGTCACTCTCAAGTTAATCAGTGTAAATGTTATTTTTGTCTAAACTCTTACATAGTGGCATATTTGTTTGAACTATGATTTTGTGTATATACGTCTATAAATTTAAGCATGTTTTGTAAATAAGTAATTATGTCATCTTGGTCAAGAATGTTTAGGTATGCAAGTATGTTATGTGTTTCATGTTATGATTATAATGCTTTGATGATATGTAAAGCTTAAATAAATTTATAATATGGGTGAATATATCTAAGATGCTTAAATGCAAAAAGGGTATGGATGATTAGGTTAAAATGGCTATAAGTTGTTTGCATGATATAATGAATTGACGTTAAGAATGTAGTCTGCCCTATTCTTTGTTTTATTCTTCTCATGTGTGGTTTATATAGCTCTTTAAAACATAAAAGAGTTAAGACACTCAATTCATGTTATAATTATTTGTTTAAAATCGTGTAAAGGGAGTAGAAGATACTAATAGTGGAGTTTCATTTATGAATGAACTTCTTAATCGACAATGCCATAATTAAGGTAACAACGTAGATGTATTTATGATCTTTTTGCTCATTTGCTTCTATACCCAAGAGGCAGAACATACAATAGAAATGCATTAAGGCTATACTACTATTTAGTAGCCTGGAAATATTGGTGGAGGTGGTGACGAGTATTGGAATCCAATGTTTGGTGGGAGGACAATATCCACTTTGGGAGGTGGTGCAAGTTTAACAACAGGAGGAGGTGGGGATCGTGCTGGTGGAGGTGGAGAGTAGACAGGCGGTGGTGGAGAATGGATTGGTGGTTCTGGTGAGTGTAAAGGTGGTGGTGGTGAATGGGCAAGTGGTGGTGGAGATTGAACTGGTACCGGGGGTGGGGAATAGACTGGATGTGGTGGGGAATGGACATGTGGAGGTGGGGAGTAAATTGGTGGAGGTGGAGAATGAATTGGTATCGGAGGTGGTAGTGAATGGACTGGTTGAGATGGAGATTGAATTGGTATCGGAGATGGGGGTTGGACTGGTGGTGGTGGGGAGTGAACTGGTTGAGGTGGAGATTGAATTGGTACCGGGGGTGGAGATTGAACTGGTACTGGAGGTGGAGATTGAACAGGTACCGGAGGTGGGGAGTGGACTGGTCGAGGTGGAGATTGAACTTGTACCGGAGGTGGGGAGTGGACTGGTCGAGGTGGAGATTGAACCGGCACCGGAGGTGGGGAGTGGACTGGTCGAGGTGGAGATTGAACTTGTACCGGAGGTGGGGAGTGGACTGGTCGAGGTGGAGATTGAACCGGTACCGGAGGTGGGGAGTGGACTGGTTGAGGTGGAGATTGAACTGGTATCGGAGGTGGAGATTGAACTGGTGGTGGTGGGGAATGAACTGGTACCGGAGGTGGAGATTGAATTGGTACTGGAGGTGGAGAAGGAACTGACGGTGAAGGTGAAGCTGAAGGAACAACAGGTGTTGGTGGCCTAATAGGAGTCACCGGAGATTGATAAGTTGGATCAGGTGATGGTTTTGGTTGTGGCTTCGGCATTGGAGGAGCTTGAACCTGTGGCTTTGGTGGGTTAGGCTTAGGAGGTGAAGGCCCTGCAACACATTGATCCTTGCTACAATCAACCGGATTACTCACCACCGATTGACATTCATTATCCAACTTCTGGTTTATCCGACCAGCCACACAATTACCAGTATCATCCAACACGATGTTGTTCCTTTCAGGCGATATACAACCTTTAGGCTCCTCAGTGAAATAGTTGTGAGAAAAGGTGAAATTAGACAAGGTTGGCAACTTGCAAACATTTTCAGGCACAGCACCCGTCAACTTGTTGTGAGAAATATCCAAAATGTCAATGTTCTTCAGGCTCGATATATTTTGAGGCAAACTACCGGTAAATGAGTTGAAGCTAACATCGAAAATAGTGACATTGGCAAGCAATCCAATTTCTGGTGGAAAACAACCACCAAGGTCATTGTTCATGAAAAGAATTTCATTCAATCTCCACATTTTCCCAATGCTGCGTGGAATACACCCTTTGAACTTATTGTTGGCAAATGTCACCACCGAGACCAAAGATGTGCCAATTGTTTCAGGGATTGAGCAAGTGAACCGATTGTTGTTTAAAAACAATGCATCCAAATCCTTCTCAAAGATCTCTGGTGGTAAACAACCTTCAAAATTATTGTATCTTATATCAAGATACTTAACACTCGTCCATGTCATTACCACTTCTGGGAATGGGCCAACAAATCGGTTGTTGCTAATATCAAATTCGTACATGAGCGTAAGCCTTGAAAAGCTCTTGGGGATAATACCACAAAACCTGTTGGAATTTAAATGGATCAATGCAAGGTCGGTCATCAACCCCAACTCTACTGGAAGATAACCAGCAATGTCGGCATGGTTAAGGTCAATACCAGCAACGACCGTCAAATTGGAATCATCCAATGCCGGAGCACAGAACACACCTTTGTAGCTACAAACATTGGACCCAAACCAGTTCCTGGTGATGTTCAAAGGGTCGGAGTACATAGCCTTTTTCCAGGCTTGAAGAGCGATGAAAGCCCTCCTAAGCCTTTCATTTTCGAAAGTTTCGGTTGTTTTTACTGTATATTCATACCCATCAGGGAGATCACCATTTTCGGGGAGAGCTAAGAGCTGACGACGAGCGATATAAGAAGCTTCGTTGTCGGATAATGCAAAAGTGGGTTCTATTTTATACAAGAAGAAACAAAAGAAAAGAAGAAAGCAGCCCAAGGCCGGAAGCGCTTGACTATTATTCATTATTGACCACCTTGGTCTGCCCAAGGCTGCTTATGCAATGAAGATGGAACTATAAAAGTGGGATTATATTGAGGTGAAAATGTCTAATTTTAGCTGCCCGAAAGATTGGTGGGTGGTTCACAGATTTTTAGAGACAAATTGTTGGCTTTGCGAGATGTAAGGTCTATGTATGAAACGATAGTAAATAGAGCTTAAAAAAATCTAATTATTGACAGTCACCTTCACAAGTTTAAATTGTAATTTCCATACGTATAAAATATCGTAAACGGAAGTCCAATTTATTAAATGGAGAACTTAAACGTTTATTGCAATGTTGTGGCCTTTTTAACCGTGGTTTTGAAGGTGGTGGAAATGGAAATAAGGGTGCATTCGTTCTGGAGTGGGCGAAGAGACGCTAAGTGGGGCTTCTTTTTTTCATATGTCCCTCTTTTTATCTTTTCTTTATTCTTTAGACCCTTTGTCCCCTTCTGATCTCTATTGGTACTTGCCCCTATTCTAGAATGTAAGCTGATGATGCTAGCTTGAGGGAAAAAACACATAAATATTAATACCACTTATGTGATATTCATATCGATCTAATTTTTGAAATTAAAAAAATAAATTTATGATATTGATATTCTTATGTAGATATCAACACCAAAATAAAATTCAAAATAAGAAAAAATATATATTAATATACTTAATAACGATACTCTAGAACAAGATATATAACTATATCAAAATCCACTTATAATTTTTCCACTGTACGTATGAGATAATTAACTCAGTATAAAACAAGAATGCATACAATCGTATAATCCACAAGAAGCGCTACATTATCCATAATCTTTAGTGATTAAAGAACGAGGGGCGTACTAATCATTCGGTTAAATATATCAAGTAATTTTTGTGATTAAAGAGAATATTATTTTTTCTTGAGGTCTTGAGTTTAAAAATTGTGTCTTCTGCAAAGGTGTGTATTATCAATAATTAAGAAAGACTTTGAAATATATTACTCTATAATTATCTCAAATTATTTAAAAATAAAAATGAAAGTGACTAACTGTGGGTTTAAATTTGTGCCAATCAAAGAACGCGAGAACACCTAAACCACTAAGAGAAATCTAATGATCGGTTTTAAATTAAATATATTAGAGTATATCCACTTCAGCCTGTAATCTTTATAACTTATAGATGATTAGTTGTCAGCTTGTGTTTAGTTTGTTTGTTATCAGTTAGTTAGCTGATTTGTTAGCAGTTGTATTTTAGTTAGTTAGTTATCTTTGCAGCTTATATAAACCAGTCTTGTAATCTCTCTTAAATGCAAGAAAGCATTATTCATTTACAGCTTCTTCGATCGTTATATGGTATCAGAAGTTTTGTTTTTCTTCTCTCACGCTTCATCATGGTTGAGTCATCGAATGATAGTTTCGATAATGGGGCAAATCCCTATTACTTGCATCAGTCTGATAATCATGGCATGATATTGGTGAGTCAGTTGCTCTCCAATGATAATTTTCACAGCTGGAAAAGGTCAATGATGCTTGCCTTATCTACCAAGAACAAGTTTGGTTTTGTTGATGGTTCAATTCAAGCTCCTGATCCTTCTATGGTCAACCAGTTCAATGCCTGGACAAGAGCCAATAATTTGGTCAATTCTTGGCTTCTCAATTTAGTCTCCAAAGACATTGTTGCAAGCTTACTGTATCACACAACTGTTGATGAGATATGGAAAGATTTGGTTGATCGATTCCAGCAGGCGAATGAACCACGTTTATTTCACTTAAAGAAACGATTATGCGAGCTCGTGCAAGATAAATTGTCAGTAAGAAACTATTATACTCAATTGAAAATTGTTTGGGATGAATTGTTTTCAATTCAACAGTTATGCAGTTGTCTCCAATATAATTGTCGATGAGTGCAGCGCATGCTTGTTGAACAACAGCAAGAACAAGTAATTCAATTCTTAATGGGGTTAAATGAGTCTTATGCTCATATAAGGGGACAAATTCTTTTAATGGATCCTCTCCCCCTATTTCAAAAGTCTTCTCTTTGATTGTTCAAGAAGAACATCAACGAAATATACAATCTTCCCATCCCATTTTTGAGCCAACCTTTGCTGTTAAGTCTCATCTTAGCACTAATGCTTGCAAAAATAGACCTATGTGCAGTCATTGTAACCTTTTTGGTCATACAAAAGACAGGTGTTACAAATTGATCGGCTATCCTCCTGGTTACAATTCCAAGAATTGGTCCTCTTCGACCTCTTCTTGGGGTAAAAGTTCTCAAGCCATTCATACCAACTCTGTTGTATCTCAGTAAAGCTCTAATGTTGTCACTGAAGCCTTTACCCCTGAGAAATGTCAATAATTGATTGCCATGCTCACTTCCCAGTTACAATCCGCATCATCCTTGGATATTCCTACCACTTCGATCAATACTGCCATGCAAGGGAAGATCATATCACACATAACTGCTTCTGGTGTTGGAATATCTAACTACTGGATTTTGGACTCGGGAGCTTCAAGACATATATGTCTTTCAAGAAATAATTTTGAATAACTATTTCCTATAACGAGCTGCTTAGTCACCTTTCCTAATGGATCCATCATCCCAGTCAGTTTTGCAGACACAATTCGATTTTCATCTGATTTTGTTTTGCATGATGTGTTGTTTGTTCCAGACTTTCAATTCAATTTGCTTTCAGTCAGTGAATTGTTGAAATTCTCTGACCTTAGTGTGTTGTTTTGTAAAACGAACTGCTTAATTCAGGACCTTCATCGAGTGATTGGGAAGGGTGAGCTGGTTCAAGGACTTTGCTTGTTGCATATGTCTTCATTTAGATCTAATATTTCTTGTAATAATGTGTCTAGCAGTTTATCTAGTGACTGGCATAACAGATTGGGTCATCTCAGTCTCCATGTCATGCATCTTCTTAAGGATGTTTTTCTTTTAAAGAATGCAAAGATGAAAGAACCCTGTCAAGTTTGTCCTTTGGCTAAGCAACAAAGGCTGCCATTTCCAGTCTCTTCTTCTTATACTACACGATTGTTTGAGTTAGTTCATTGTGATATATGGGGACCTTACAAGCACAAAACATATTCTGGACAGGCTTCATTTCTAACCTTGGTTGATGATTTCTCGAGATCTACCTGGGTTTATTTGCTACAGCATAAATCTGATGTCAACACCATTATACCCGCTTTTATATCAATGGTTAAAAAATAATTTGAAATTGATATAAAATCTTTCAGGTCTGATAATGCTCATGAGTTAAAATTCATTGAATTGTTTACTAACTTGGGTATAATGCATCATTTTTCATGTGTGGAAACACCACAGTAAAACTCTATCGTTGAAAGAAAACATCAACATCTGTTGGTTGTTGCTCGTGCTTTATATTTTCAATCAAAGATGCCAATCAAGTTTTGGGGTGATTGCTTACTTACTGCAACGTATCTAATAAATAGACTTCCATCACCTGCCTTGAACAACATATCCCCTTATGAAGTCTTACATGGTCATCTACCATATTACAACAGGCTACGATCTTTTGGTTGACTTTGTTTTGTTGCTACTTTGAAGTCTCAACGGGACAAATTTTCAGCTCGAGCTTTACCTGGGATATTTCTTGGATATCCTCCAGGTGTAAAGGGATATTGTGTTTATGTCTTGCAAACTCAGAAGATTGTTATTTCTAGAAACGTGGTATTCCATGAAGGGCTATTTCATTTTCGAAATGCAAGCTTGTCTGACAATTCTGCTGACATTTTTCAGGCTCTGATACCATATAACGATCGAAGAAGCTATAAATGAATAATGCTTTCTTGCATTTAAAAGATATTACAAGACTGGATTATATAAGCTACAAAGATAACTAACTAACTAAAATACAATTGCTAACAAATCAGCTAACTAACTGATAACAAACAAACTAAACACAAGCTGAAAACTAATCAGCTATAAGTTATAAAGATTACAGGCTGAAGTGGATATACTCTAATAAAATATTATATATATATATATATATATATATATATATATATATATATATATATATATATATATATATATATATATATATATATATATTAAATAGAAATTCTTCCTAATTCTCTACCAAGCTGTAAAGTTATCATCGTTTCCCTCTTTTGTCTATGGCATCTTGCTTGTATGTCAGAATCAAATAGGGACCTGCGTCCAAGTTTAGTTAATTCTTCCTCACTCTATACCTTCTTCTGGCTTTTCTTCATTTGACAAATTCTATTATTCCTTTGGGTATTTGCAAATTTCTCCTGAATGCTTTAAAGAGAACTGTATTTTTTGTTTTTCCCCGTCTTTGTTCTTTGGATCTGTCTGGATTTGTGAATTAAAGTATCCTCGCTCAGTTGTGTAGAAATATTGAGCCTTTGTTCCAGTTCCTCCCAATCTTTCCCCGCTTTAGGCTTTCCTCTCAATTGATCTGTCAATACACCACCCTCTTGGTCTTCCTCCCCCTTGGTTCTTTTATTGACAATATTGTTTGTGAGGCCCATATTAACCACATCCTCCACGACCCTCGTATCTATTCTACCTTCCCATATCGTCAAGTCTTTAAAATTTTCCTTTATTTTCTCTTTATCACATACTGACATAAATATATTCCTACTGTCATTTTCTGCCACTCTCTCCTCGTGTTCCACCACTTTCTCATTTTGCTTTTGTACCTTCCCCATTCCACCATCTTTATTCCTCAGTCCCAAAATTGATTCCTCCCCAATGTTTCTTTCCACCTCGTCCTCGACCGACTAGTAACCGCCTCTAGGTATGTTTCCCATACAACATAATTGACTGCCATCTTCCTCAAGCCACCTTTCAGAATTCTTTTCCTCCGATAAGACCCTACTTCTTCCTGCCGAGGACTCAGAATCTAACATAACCGGACATTCTTTTTCTTCTCGCTTACGAACAGTTGTAACACTTCTTCTTGTGGAATGTTCCACACACACTAATTTTAAATATATCTTTACCAGCTTCCAGATCAACCACTTCGCCAATTGATGCTTTC